ATCTTAAGAATTTGAGGTGACTCATAAGAACTACAGATAGTATGAGATACTACATCCACTCGAACATATCTTAACAACAAATGCACTCATTAAACGTTTTGATTTTTTGAAAAATATTGGAAAATTGCCTTGGTTTATGAAGGGATGTTATGTCAAAAAAACTATTGTAACCTAAATTTTCTGATAAAAAAAAATCTAGATTTTTCCCATGCTCTCTGGCAGATTTTGATCCCAAAGTGCAAAGATTATCATAAAGGAGAGGCAGAAATACCCATTACCACAAGATGGGAGTGGTAGGATTTCATTCAGATGAAGTTATGAACTTCATTTTGTCATGTCCTCTCACTCCCTACTTCTCCGCCCCAATTTAAACAGGACTAACAATCTCTCTTTGAAGTGCCAGCTGAGACTGTGAGATGGGTGAACATAGCTGACCTAGTAAACCAGCCACCCAAGAGTACTACCCTCTTTCTACAATGGAACCTGCAACTTACAGTTAGTATGCAGGTTGGGCCTAAGAATAAAGTGTATAGTGCCTATTATTTATTAACATATTTTTACAATGTTTAAAGCTCTTTTCAGTATACAAACAAGTCAGTGAATCCTCATTTATAAAATAAGCACTTGATATGATAATACAAAAATGGTTTATATCAATTGCAGTAAGAAATTTTTCAAACATTAATCACAGAGTTTCTGGAACGTGGGTTAAATGATGAAAAAATGGGCGGCCATGAACACACCCTTTAATTTCATTTCCAAACTGGTGTTTCATTTTAGAGATAAGGTCTCGAATGTCCTCCTTTGGTAAGTACATCGGCAACTGTCTAGATAGACGAACTGCTTCTCCCTGTGAAAAGAAAAGTCACACATTCACCACGATATACTCAGAAGAAAACAAATTATTACCCTAACATGCCAAAAGTTGACGTTCATTTTGTTCATGCAATAAATATTAAGCACCAACAATGCTGTAGATTTGGGGCACACAGTGGTGGCCAAGTGAATAAGAAATTTATATTCTAATGTAGAGAAACAGAAAACAGATAAGACAAAACATTAGTGAGTGAATAAGACACACAATTAACTAGTCCAAAATTATGTAATTGGGAAGACTTACTAAAAGAGATGACATTAAAGTTTCTTTTCAATGATCATGTAAAGATCATAAACAATGTAAAGCATTTCAGACAGAGCAGACAGAATGTTCAGTATGGGTGCAGCACAGTTACCGACAAGTAGATAAAAATATTCAAAAATCAGGCAAGCCCAACACACTCTCTAGGACAGCAAGCAACTGGAATTTAACTGAATACACAAGGAAGTAAATAGTGTTGCTTTAAACAAAGCCTCATGTATTTCACAACATAAGAGTCTGGCTGCTGTGTGAAGTAGGACAATAGAACCAAGAGGTCACCAGGGGGTCCTGGTAAGAGACTGTGACTAGGGTGACAGAAGCTGAGATGGAAGAATGTCTAGATTCCTGACTACATTTGAGGTAGTTGATGACTTGTCATGACGCACGCAGAATCAAAGATAATGTCCACAAATTTGGTATAGGAATGCTGTTTTCTCAGATAGGGAGACAATGAGGGTTTGGGGGATAAGAATTGTCAACAAGACTAGATTTTAATATTTAAAAAACTGTCATATTCCAGGGAGCTTGAGTCTTAACATTATTTTCTTTAGCCATAGATCCATCATCTTTCTAAGCATTCTACTTCTTTATTTCAACTGAATCTTTCTTTCTTCACTTTGACCACTGCTGTCTATGACCAGACTTGATGGTCTTCTAGCAATTATTATCCTCAACAGAACATGACAGTACTAATTTTTAAATTTTCTTTCCTTCTTGACTTCTAAATACACTCATCTATTGGTTCACTTCTGCCTTTCCTATCCTTATCTCTGATTAATCTTATTCAGATTGATCTGGAATGGAAGCATCTCTGTGATTGGGACATATGTTCTTTTAAAAAAATCTCCATAGGGCTGGAGAGATGGCTCAGCAGTTAAGAGAACTGAGTACTCTTACAGAGGACCCAGGTTCGAGTTCCAGTACCCACATGGCAGCCAACAACCATCCCTAACTCCAGTTCCAGGGGATCCAATGCCTTCTTCTGATCTCCGCAGGCAGTGCACAACATGTGTGCACTTACATACATGCAGGCAATATACTCATACATATAAAAAAATCATATTTAGCTACCATAATGTGGTGAGGTACAGATCAGCAAAATGTATTTAAGCCCAATTGTAACAACTTTTTTCTCCATTATTTCTGAAATCTTATTTCTTCTCCACATGGTTTTTCTGTACACAAAACACTACCCACAATTCCCTGAACTGTATTTAAAGTTCATATTAACTGACTCCTGAGAAAAAGACATTGGAGTTTCTTGAAACCTTAGTGTTGAATTTCCCTTACAAATGGCTGGGAGTTTCCACAGGACAAACCTCCTGAGGGATTAAGAGACCACTACTGAATATATTATACAGAAAGGGTAACAGGCCAGCTTTCTTGATGAGGTTTGACCTTGAGAAAAGGCATGCCATGTATTCCAAACAACAACAACAACAACAACAAGCTCATTTTTAAAGGAGGAATAAACCAACTATTAGAGTTCATGTTTGTTGTTAGAAACAACACCAGGAAGACCTTGATGGAAAAGAGACATTTATAACTTGAAACACTGAGGTAATCATGATTATTTTCTTGCCATGACTTTATCCTTGGATGTGTTAAGGTTTATAAACTTCCTTAGCCTTCTTTTTGTTATTCTGTTGTCATTTGTTTTTTTAAGATAAGGTCTTGCTGTGTAGTCCTGGCTGGCTGTGAATTTATGATTCTCTTCCTGCTTTAGCCACCTGAGTGCTGGAATTCCAGACATGTAAACAGCAAATCCAGCATGCTCTGAATTTACTTTTTTAACCAAATTTTACATTTCTCATTTTGGTAGCTGCTGTTCAGAAAAGTAAAACGTCTATTATTCAAAAATTTAGATCTTTCTCTTCCTTTTGAAGAGATTAAGATAATCCTATCACAATGCATTTTAGATAATGACATGAAGGTTGGTAATGTGGAGTCCATTCTAAGGGGGTTACTTAAGAAAATTAATAAAAGAACTTCACTACAAAATACCTCAATGTAAAAGACTTTTACATATGCCTAAGAATTACATTATGTAATTATGTACAAGAGAGGATGCTACAACCAGTCTATGTTGTGAAATTTTTAATGAAGTTTTAAAAAATATTATTTCCTTCTTGAAAACAGTTTAGAAACTATTACTCCTTTAAACCATTTACTGTTGGGCTGGGCATGGTAGTCACACCTTTAATCTTAGCACTTGGGGGGAGGATGTTTGTGAATGAGATCAGCCTGGTCTACATAGTAAGTTCCAGGACAGCCAGGGCTATATAATGAGACCCTGTCTTCAAAAGTAAAAGTTTAGGGGCTGAAGAGATGGCTCAGCAGTTAAGGGTACTGCTGTTCTTGCAAAGGATATGGGTTTGGTTCCCAGCACCCTTATAGCAGCTAACAACTGTCTATAACTCCAGTTCCAGGGAATCTGATGCCCTCTTCTGACTTCTGTGGGCATTGTGTAACACAGGTGCACTTAAGTACATGCAGGCAATACACTCATACACATAATAAAGAATAAAATATTAAAAAAATATTTGCTTATTATTTCATTAAGGAATGATTAGTGACTTAAAAATTAGCCAGCCTATGTAATTCAATAAGGCATACCTCCAAATAACTTATCACTTTTCGAGGTCTACATTCATAAATTTCCTTTGCATTTTTGTTTAATATAGCATTAAGAATTTCCTTTAAATCCATTACTCCATAGAATGGGAGACAAGTAGCCATTCCTTCTATTTCCCAGTAGTGTTCAGTAATGGAAACTCCTGAGAGAGAAAAAAAAAAATAGAGAGACACAGTTAAGTTAGTTAAAATTATATTCCAGAACACATCCATTGGAAACAAAATCACTGTTAAAACACTTAGTGAACCTTCATAAGAATTTAATATATCAGGACAAAGTTTGTTCCTTAGTGAAGAACAAAAAATAATTTCCCAAAAGTCTTCACATTAAGTCATAAGTGCTCACTGACACCACATGTGCTTTATTTAATTTAATTTAACCTCAGTTACTGCTGGTCTTCTCCTTACATTTGCTTAGAACATTTCTTACTTTGGAGAGAAAATGAAGTCCCATGATATTTATTAAAATAAAAATGGTTTAAGTATTTTTGCAACTGCTGCACTTCAAGCTCTAGCCTACTGTTCTAGTATCTAATCTAAAGGCTGAAATTAGTGTTGTGATTATCTTCAGTAAGTAATAAAAACAGGCAGCTTCTTGTAAATATAGAATTTGAAGAAATAAAAATAGTAATGCTTATTCAAAAATTTGACTAAGAAAATGTTTGAAATTGCTGTTATCTCTTAAACTATATAAAATAATTTAGTCACTAAAACTGAAGGGCATTGGATGTATAATTGTACAGATAACCCATAACAGAACATATTCCAAAGCACCAATACATGAGCTTAGAAAACAGGATGCATTTGTTTAATTTGGCTACATTTATATAACAGTATTCTTAATACTGAAAATCGGTATCATGTTACCTAGAAGGGAAGAGTCCCCCTTTGGATATTGATAGTTGTTGAGACTTCAAAAGCTCTCATCTCTAACTGGTTCCCAGGTACGGGTGCCCTAGGATCTAGATGGCAGATGAAATGGTAGTAGACTAAACAGAGAAAGTAAGCTAATGTTTTTCCCAGTGAGCAACTGGAGAGTAAGATGAGATGGTATGTCATCAAGAATTAAAAGATGAGCTACAGAGTTCAATAAAGGGTGTTGAAATGAGTTTGAGAGCTAGTGGACCTTAAATGGGAATCGAAACAGTATAAGATAGGCAAGCAGGAAGTAACAGTATTTACTGAGCTGTGTCTTACATATTTATAGAGATAGGAAAGCACTCAAGCCAGGCATGATGGCACATACCTCTAACTCCAGCACTTGGGAGGCTGAAACAGAAGGAACTTGAGTTTGAGGCCAACCTGAGATACATAGTAAGGCCCTGTCTTAAAACTAACTAATCAACAGTTCAAAGCAGGGCCATGATTTGGGGCTGGCAAGATGGATCAGTTGGTAAAGATACTTATGCCTCAGGCCTGTCAACCTGATTTTGATCCCAAGAATCCATGTAAACATGGATGGAGAGAAATCACTCCATGCTGTCCTCTGATATCCACACACATGCCTTGACACAGCCATCCCCTCCCCCAAATAAATAAAAATAAACCTCACTACTGTATAAAAAATCCAAACATATCAGTCTAAAAGTATTTTTAAACTATTGTTAGTTCTACACATTTTATATTATTAGATTGAACAGTTTAATACTTCATTTGCACTGGAAAATCATACACCTTTCACAGAATTTGCGAATATGGGTTAAAAATAATTTTCAACAAATCAGGACACTGAACAATAATTTTATTTCTATGTCTGCAAAATTCAGATAAGAAACTTAGAGAACTTTAATCTATGCAATTATAATCTCTGAAGAATTTCATAAAATTGTATCAAATGATTCCTAATTTTCAAGGAAAACGAGTAAGTGGTTTGACAAGTTTTCCCTTTTAAGAACATGGATGAAGGAGAGAACCAACTCCATAAATTTGTTCTCTGACCTCCATGTGTGCCACGGTGTACACACACACTCTGTTGCATACTTCAAATTAAAAGATGCCAGAGGCCCCAAGGAAAGTATTTATAGGACTAGAAAAATGACTGCAAGTTAGTTCAGGTCTGAAAAGGGGTCGGAGGACAGGGACATGGATATTGGGACAGCTAGTACCACACCACAGCTTACTTTTTGTTTGTTTGCTTCAGATTTGGGGGTAGGATCTCACTATATAGCCCAATATTGCTTTAAACTTACTGTGCAGCATAGGCTAGCCTCAAATGTAGCAATCCTCCTGCCAGTCTCTCATGTGCTAAGATTATAGGAATGTGCCACCATGCCCAGCTTTGCCTACAGATTTATGTTACTTTAGTGTTTATGATTATTTTGTGACATTACTATCCCAAAATCAATAGGAAGGCTAACTAATAAGCTAAGAGTTAAACCCAAAGGCAGATGTGTGAATCCTGATTCTAATACTAACTATTCTCTTGAGAAAATTTCTCTATGCCTCAAATTTTTCATCTATAAAATATAATAACACCTACTTCATAGGCTATTAGGGAAATAAATTAAATCATATATTGTGGGGGTTTGAATGAGAAATGTCCCTATAGTCTCAAGTAAGTGAACACTGTCCGCAGTTGGTGGCTCTGTTTGAAACATCATGGATCTTTAGGCAAGGAAATGTGTCACCGGCAGGCTTTGAGTTCATAGCCTGCCTGACTCCTAGTTCACTCTCTGCTTCATGCTTGTGGTTGAAGATGGGAGTTCTTAGTTTCCAGTTCCTGAGCCGTGTCTGCTGCTTGCTTCTATGGCTCCCCACCATGATGGACCCTTAACCCTCTGGAACCGTAAAACAAAATAAACATTTTCTTTTGGTGATGGTGATCTATCACAACAACAGAAAAGTAACTAATACAGATGTTAACTCTTGGAAGAGTGCTCTGCACATAAGAGTTGTTCAAGGGTTTTTACTGATGAAGATGGGGCTGGAGAAATGGCTCATCAATTAAGAGCACTGGATGCTTTTGAAGAGGGCCCAGGTTCAATTCCCAGCATGCACATGGCAACTAACAACCATCTGTAACTCCAATTCCAGGGTATATGATGCTTTCTCTCCTCCGTGGGTATTGCACAACATGGTGCACTTACATACATGCAGGCAATACACTCACACACATAAAATAAAAATAAATAAAATATACTTTTAAAAAAGAGTTATTACTCATGAAGAAACAGTGAGAAACTTGTGATCTGGATATGTAGTCTGTATCTCAAGTCTGAGATGAGGTGGGACGTAAGGAGCTTAAAACTGAGAAGATCAATACAATTACTTGAAGTTGGAAACACTGAAACGTTTTCTATGAATACCCAGGTCTATGCTTCTGTACACTGTAGTCATTTAATTTCTTTTGTGCCTCAGTGCAAACATTCCTTTACAAATCTTTTCTATATCTTGGGTGTGGCAACTTTAGGCAATGGAGGGTTGACACTGAAGTAATTCCTCATGGTGCCTCTGTGTCACTAGATAGCAGATGAAGGGAAGAAGTAGTCTAGGGAGCTAGGGCAGAAGGAAGACTAGTATGGAAACCAGAAAGGAATGGAGAAAGGGCCAGCAAGGAAAACTGGATTCTTTCAGACAGATACATGTTCTTTTTAATCTATCAGGCAAAGCCATGGAACCAAATCATCTATCAGTGAGACTGCCCATGCTCCATGCCACTTGGCAAAGCAAACTGAAATCTGGCAGTGGTGGTAGTGGTGGGGGGGGTGCATGAATGGGGAAGGGGGTGTAAATTTGACTAAGATTATATGAAATGCGCAAAAATTCAATAAAGACATTTCTAAACACTTGACAAATCACTTCTGGAATGTTCGTGCTGTGAAAAGAATAAACTGCTTCTTTGTTGTAAAGGTTCCTAGTTCCTAAAACTCTGAAGTGTCTGCTCATTCAGAAATAAAGCTTTTTTGTTTGTTTTTTGTTTGTTTATTTTAAAAAAGGCAACCTTTTTATTAGGCCATTCTAGAACCTCACACATTTAGTTGTTTCGTCATCTAAAGAAGACTTTTGAGGGCTGCAGAGGTGGCTCAGTGATTAAAAACATGGGTTTTTTTTCCAGAGGACATAGGTTCAGTTCTCAGTACCTACAGTGGTTACTAACAGCTGTCTGTAACTCTAGCTTCAGGGGAGCCAATACCCTCTCCTGGCCTACACGGGTACTGCATGCATGGATGTACTTACGTCCATGCAAGCGAAATGCTCTAATGCATAAATATTTTAAAAATTAAAAAAAAATTGATAATTGAGTTAAACAAAGAAGATAGCTTGATTTCTGTGTCAAATGCTAGCACAATATACAATAAAATTCCCTATCTGATCAGTTAAGAAAATGCAAATTCCACTGGCACTTGATCTGGCAGAGACATTACCTTTGAAATTAGTCAGCTCTAACAATGACTTTTAGTGAAACAAAAATATATCACAACAGCAAAGTGTAGCCCCTGGAATAATATTTCTTTTTTCAAGTCGGAGATACTAAATTAATTTTTATCATACCTGGTTTCAATTTGATTTTGAAACCATTTGCTGTAAGACGAGGATCAGACAAGTAATTTGTTCCATTGCATCTCTGGTCAACTGTCATCATTTTATGTAAAACTTCTAAATAATGAGATCCATTAAAAACACTGAAAAAGAAAATCAGTAAGTTTAAATTACTGGATATACAGATCAAAATAAGAGAATTTATGGAAGCTAATCCACGGGTGTTTTGAAAAGTGTTATAATACAAACATAGACACAGGCCTGTGAGAAAGCATCCTACATTCTCCTAGTGGTTTATAAAAGGCCTACTGTGCATAGGAGGAAGAACAGACAGAAAGACAATTTCAACCTTCTCTCAATACAAATGAAAACTTTACTTACAAAGAATACCTTTTATGTGTTTAGAACAACTACCACAAATAAAAAGCACATAAGAATACACTGTCAAGTTATTCAAGTGGTTACATTCAACTCCCAAATGCTACTCAAGGTTTGTTCAGTAGCAGAAAGATTACATATACATATTTTTCCTCAAATACTGGTAAGTTTATTAATCCAGAGCATGGGAGAGCATTCTTCAGTTTAATAGCAAGCATGTTTGACAAAGATGGTATATAAAATAAGACCCTAGACAAAATTTAGAGGGGGCTGAAAATTAGGGGACAAATCAAGCTTCTCACACTCATTTTAGGTTTGGTCACACTACTTCATAATAGTCATTACAAAAGAGTCACCACATCAGTCTGTTTAGGCTGATGTGAATAGTGACCAATCTTCCTTTCATGTAATGGATATCTGAGTACCTATCACATTAAAGAAATGGCCTTAGATATGCAAGGCACTGATGTTTCAGTTCAGGATTGATGCACTGTCATTACAACTCCATTCCCTCTGGAAATACAAATGGCTTTTCAGCTTTGAATGGCTTAAGACTCCACTGACTGTAAGAACAGATATCAGAGAGCTTTGGCTACATGTCAGGTACACTCTATCTTATTATCTAACCAGCATTTTGAAGTCAATCTGAGAGCTGGTATTAAGGATGATAGTGTGTCACTTAATAGTGCAGACTGCACAGTTAAGCTGTCTGCATTGGAATCTTGAATCTATGGCTTATTTACTGGAAATGTAAGCCTTGATGAGCTATTTAACTGTTCTGTGTTTCTGTATCCTTCTTGCCAAAATGTGGGTGACCTTGTAAGATCATGAAAGGGCATAGCAGTTTCCATCATAGGTAGTGCTCAACAGGCAGTGGCCGTCGCTGCTCTTATTATGATCACTTACCTTGCATTTTATAGATACGGGGTAAATTACTCTATTCAGACAGAAACTATCCAACTAGGTTGCAATTCTGTTCAGAAAACTGAACCCAATCCTCAATTACCCTGTCAATACAACGAGGTAATCAGTCCAAGATTCAGCTTTGAAAAACATGCAGCATTAAATATGGAGAACAATCCATTTTCAAGGGGCGGAAATGATTTTGAATCACGATTTTCTTAGGGCTGATGCTCAGTTTAAAAAGGCTTACTTTCAGGATAACATGGACACAAAACAGTTTCTCTTTTTAAGTGACGGATCATCACATACAGAAATACTTTTTTTCCAGAAACATATACATATATATTTTTTTGGTCTTTTGGAGACAGGGTCTCCCTGTAGCCCCAGCTGACCTGGAACTCACTATGTAGACCAGGCTGGCCTCAAACTCACAGAGATCCTCCTGCCTCTGCCTCCTGAATGCTGGGATTAAAGGTGTGCGCCACCACGCCTGGCCCAGAAATATTTTGAAAAGCTATTCTTTGGACAGACACAAAAAGATTTCTGAAATCTAAATGAAAATCTATAAACATTGTTCATAAAGGCAAACAAGTTTTAAAAGTCAGATGTGCCCAGGCTGTTCATGAGAAAACAGAGAGAAAAGTACTGTTGGGTTTTTTAACTACTTACATTTGAATTCTTCCTTTGACAAGTTTCTTAAGCCAGTCTTAAGAAATACTATGAAAGAATCTACATTTTAAAGTGGTCACAGTTGCCTTATTTAAAAAGATGGATTTAAACAGATATTTTTCCATGTTCTTACCCTATTTTTCCCTCCATTAAATGATAATATCTTTAACAAATATATTATTTTTATTTTACGTGTATGAGTGTATTGCTTTCACGTAGGTAGGTGCACCCATGTTGTGCAATGCCCGCAGAGGTCAGAAGAGGGTGTCAGATGCCCCGGAACTGGAGTTAGGGACAGCTGTTAGCTGTCATGTGAGTGATAAGAATCGAAACTGGGTCCTCTGCAAGAGCAGTCAGTGCTCTTAACCACTGAGCCATCTCTCCAGTTCTGACACTGTCTTTAACACATCTTATACATGAGTATTGCTTTATTCTTGGAGGCTCTGAAAGTTATCTAATGAAATATTCTAGAGAACAAATTTTTAGTATTTTTTTTACTATCTTTTTAAACTTCAGATTTTTAGCCTCTTTATATATATCAGTGTCTCTGTCAGACTGAAATGTAAGCATAAAAAAGAAATGTTTATAGTTAGTATTTATTCATTTATATATAAAGCAATTTGCTCATATAAAACATAAAAAAAGAAATAACACATCTTACAATGAAGCTTAAAATTAGCAACTATTATCAGTGGGCAAAACCATTAAATAGGAAGGTAGAAAGGGAACTTTTATGGAGAAGATGGGGTTCTCTTAATCTGAAGCAAGTAAATGCTGAGGTAGAGAGCACACAGTGCCTTCTATTAACAAGTCCTACTGGAGAGTAGAATATAAATCTACTCAGCCTTCCTGAGATAACTTCCAGTTAAAAATAGGGAGAGAAAAAGGTTAAACACTACCATAAGAAAGTAAAGAGACAAAAGACTATCCCATTGAAAAACTGCCTACTATGTAGTAAGTCAACTGCAAGATGCCAAGAGATGTAACTAATGTGTAGAATTTGTGGATACATCAAATTTAAAATCTTGAAACTACAAAAACACTTTTTGATGAGGAACAACTCAAAGCTATTATTGCTAAGGTATGAAAAAGACATTTGTGATAAGGTAAGAAACTATTTTTATGGATATACTGAAGGATGTAAAACTAGGAATTATTCTTACATACTTTCATCAATGAAAGGAAATGCGTGTGTGCACACATGTATGTGGACAAAACAAGATGTGGCAAAATTTTGGCAACAGTTGCTGAAAGCAACTGCATAATTCCACTTTGACATATTTCTGAAAATGTTACAGCAGTGTAAATTCAAGAGAACCATAGCATTCTAACTTTAAAATACCCTAGGAAAGTCATCAAAGTACAGGAGAATTGAGCTTCACATTCATCAAATGTAGAAGTAAACTACCAGGAATATTCTAAAATTATTTATAAGCAACTATTTTCATTAAAGTTTAGAAATAATTTTCTATAAATATGACTTATACCTACTGAAAATAGCCTTCAACTTTTAACCTTTAACTTCTCACCTCACGTGAATATATATGTTGAGTTAAAAGTTCTATTACTTCACCATACCTCTCTGTTAACAGAATTGGCTTTTCCAGTGGCTCTGCGGGGAGTTTATGATTCTCAAGAAGTCTTTTGAACAGCAGGGCTTCTTCTACTCTATATGGATTTAGTAACATGACCTCTGTTTTGGATGTAATTAGCCACGCATCAGGAAACTTGAGATTGTGGATCAAGCAAAGTTCATCTGTCTCTTCTAAGTCAACTTGCTTTTGTTTCTTAAAATTTAGTTTTAAACTTTCCATAGAAAAGGGGATCTCTACTATTTTAATATTTTCACTTTTCCTTTTTTCATTTTGGGACTGAAAGAGATCATCAAGTTTTGGCTGGTTAGATAATGTGGCTTTCAGCTTGTGTTTCTGTGCCAAACTCCACGTGCTGGTGGGCTTCATCTTTTTCCTGCCATCTTTTAATGGTATTTGTGACTCCTGTTCAATGGCTTTCTTCATTTGATAATTATATCGTTCCAAGTCTTTCTTAGCCTTTTCTTCATATCTAAGAACAGAGATAAAACAGAACTGATTATCAGTTATTGAAAAGCAGTCAAAGGCAGGCTAAAATTGGAAAAGATTTAGATTTATACACCTACATAGCTATTACCCAGAGGGCAGACCCCAGCATTAAGGGGGTGAAGAGTGGTAAGAACTGTCAACAGGCTGCACTCTTACTAACTTTAGCCATCAGAACACACATCTCTGCTTCCAGAATAACTTGAAATCAAAAGGGAAAATCCCAGAAAATCCCATGTGTGGGAGCCCACAGGAAAACAATCGTTAAAAGGCTAACGAGCACAACAGAGATTTCAGGGCTTCCCAGTGCAGGGGAAAGAGAGTCTGTGTCTGAGCTACACATGTTTTTATGGCTTGGTAAACACCTTGGGCTTTCAATTAAAATTGGAGAAGGGCCATATCTCAGGGTGGAAAAAGACCCTGTATTTTAGGACTAAGGAAGTTGCTCTAGGATCAGGGCAAAGTCTTAACAGTTCTTAATAAAATGTAAAGCAAAGCCACAAGTTCAAGAGGATCTGTGACTTATGTGGTACACCAAAAAATTAACACTTTTCAGAGGAAGTAAACAGAAACCAGAGTTTTAAGTATATCACCCACAATGTCCATTACACAATTAAAAGTTATCACTCAAGCAGTAAAACAGAAAAATATGAATCATGGTCAAGGGAAAAGTGGTCAGCAGAAGCCAACATCAAAATGACTCAAATCAATGCTATAATTAGAAAAATAAAAATAAAAGAACTTTTGTATAAATGTTTAAGGACCTAAAGATGACCATATGAATACAGTCACACCAGGCTTTTAGACTCTATTTGAGATGATATAGTATTTACCTTTAACTAGATTATGATCAAAGATGCATGATATGTTAAACAAAACAAAAAATAATGTAAATCCAATATTGAATTTAAAATTGTATGTTAAAATGTAGTCACTTATACCTAAAGCTCCTTCTCTCCCTCTAAAAGAGAAAGAAGCCAGAGACAGCAGACAAGCAAGAAAACGGCAGACCTAACCCTAATGATGTCAATTATTATAATGCATAGATCAAATATTCTAATGAAAAGAGAGGAATAGTTGACCTGATTTAAAATTCACACCCAACTTTATGTGTTTTAGAGCTAGATTTTTATAGATAGGTGGTATAAAAAAATGAAAATAGGTATACACAATGCAAATGTGAAGCCTAAGAAAGCAAGAGGCTATAGCAACATAAGGTAAAGCAAATTAAGAAGCAAAATAATCACAGATGAAGGGGCCATTGGAGAGTTATAATAACGCATATGTGTGTACCTAACAAGAGAGCTTTAAATTATGTGAAGCAAAAACTCACAATTTAAAAGTAGAGATAAAGACAGACTCATAATTGGGGATATAAACCCCTTCTTCCCTCAATAAATGGCATAACAAGATCATAAAACAGGACAATTACAGATTTTAGCAATATTGTCAACCACTTCAACTTAAATAACTATTTAGAAAACCACCATGCAGCCACTGCGGAATTCTGACTTTTTTTCTTACACGTCAACATGGAGAATTCAATAGGATGGAACATACAGTGAACCAAATTCTCAATACATTTCAAAAGACTGAAATCTAACTTAGATATTTTCTCTGACAATGTAAAACTGGTTATTTAGGAAAGTCTCAAATATTTGAAAACTAGCTCAATTTTATTCATAATAGCCCCAAATATTCATCAATCAGTGACTGAATTAACAAATTTAGTATTTTTATAAAACTTAAACTCATTGATTAAAAAATGAATGATATGGGGCTGGAGAGATGGCTCAGTGCTTAAGAGCACTGGCTGCCCTTGCAGAGGGCCCAGATTCAGTTCCCAGCACCCACATGGTGGCTAACAACTGTCTGTAACTCTAATTCCAGAGGATCTGACACCTTCTGACCTTGAAGGGCATTGCACAGCATAGGTGTACTTGCATACTCATGGACAAAAAATTCATACACATAAAAATAAAATAAAGGTGTATATATTTTTGAAAATGCACTGAATTATACTATTAAGATCTTTTCATTCTACTGTAGGTAAATTTTTACACAATTTAAAGAATGCCTTAAAGTGCTGGGGAGCTAGGCATGGTGGTCCATGCTTATAGTTCCGGCTCTTGGGAGGCTGAGGAAGGAGGACAGAAAGCTGAAGTTAGAATGCTCTACAAAGGAAGATTCCATCTCAAAATAAAACAAAACAAAAATTTAAAAAGAGGATGAACAAAGAGATGATTTAATAGCTAATTCCAGATCTGAAGAGTTCCTTATAAATTTTCTGTAACACTAATATAGAACAAATGGTTCTCTGAGCACTTCAAAATTTAAATACATGAATCATTACTGTAATTAAATTAATAAATTTAAATACATGAATCATTACTGTAATCAGATACTAGTAAAATTACAGTCACTAAAATAACATATGGAATAAAACTCTACCATTTAGTTTATCATGGTTTCATAACTAAATTTTAATTTTTACATTCTCATTTTAGAGCCATTAATGAAAAAATAAGATTACAATAAACCAAATATATTCAAGCCATTTAATTCAACTTCAAAGGTACAAACCAACGGGTATTTTAAATTTACAGTGCGTAAAAAGTTGACAGCTTTTTTTTCTCAGTAACAAAAAGTGAAATAAAGCTTCTGGAGCCAAAGGCCATCTAATATAGTGGTTATGTTACCCTCTTGGTGAAAAATCAAGATGCCTGGTTACTACTCTCCAACCTGAGCTAAGGCTGGTCAGTTCTGCTTCTAAATAGCTCCACGGTGATTCTGCTATGCACTTAGAACTGAAACCATTGCTGTGTTCATTCAGCACAGTGAGCAGTCCACAGCACAGATCCTAGAGAGAGCCTAAGAGCCTATTTGGCATGGTTCTACTACTTAGAAACAGTATAAACAATGCAAATTAAACATCTATAACATGTGGATATAATCTACATCTACTTACATAGGTTTGTTGTAAGAAATGAGGTAAAAACATGTTACGACTTAAGAGTAGTGCTTGGAACACTGTAAATGATGATGATGTTTATTGATTTTTAGCAAGAAGTACAAGCCTGGGGCTGAGGATGCATTCTGTGGAAGAGTGCATGCTTAGCACACACAAGGTTCTAGGTTCAATAACCAACACAACAAATAAGCAAACAAAACAAAACAAACACAATAAATAAGCAAAACAAATCCTACAATGAATGGGACATTTGATTAAAAACTGGTAATTATAAAATATTGCTAAATTTTTTAAATTAAGTTTTAAGCTTAGAACTAGAAGATTAAGATTACTTTTGTGGTCTCCTACTCTTTTTTTAAAATGTGGAATGTTTCACGAATATGCGTGTCATCCTTGCACAGGGGCCACATGTTAATCTTCTCTGTATCGTTCCAGTTTTAGTATATGTGCTGCCAAAGTGAGCAAGTGGTCTCCTCTTAAGAAGTTGGCTTAAATTCTTTTATAAGTCTTATGCAAATATACTTTACAGGAAATAAAGCAATAAACAGCAACACACTTTATTGCATATTTATTCCATAGGGCCACGGCTTGCTCAAAATAAGAAAGCAAAATGCCTGCTTACCTGTTGAGATGTTTATGAAGAACTTCCAGGTATATGTCAAAAGAATATTATCCTATTTTATTATTATATTCATAAAAATAGTGTTTCCAATGGAAAAAAAGAAAAAAAAACCCATGGTTTTATGGAGAGAACCGTAATGCATGCTAAAAATGAGACTAAGAAACAAAGAGGCCACAACGTAGTATGTCATTTATACTCAGCACGTATTTTTAAGTGAGGAAATCTTAGAGGTTAGCTGAATAAGAAATTTTTTTAAATACCTGTATCATTGTAAACTAGATGAACAATTATTTCATTATTTACTACTCTAAATTCTTACTTTACACTTATACTTAGAATATGGAGGTATGATTTAGTTATACAAAACACATGATCTTTAATAGTTTACTTTCACTGGCTCTAGAAATAGGTATTTTTAGTTCTTGGACATCAAAACTTGAGACTTTTCCTATGGGGTGGAAAATGAGTTCAAGATAAAGGTCACCATTTGTAATTAATTATAATGTGCAAATTTTCACATATGGTACTGATCTTTTGATTTATTCAACAAGTCAACTTAATTAGTTCCTTGGGAAATATAAAAAGTTATGTCCAAAAGAATATTAGGTAAATGTTAAGTAAAAACAGCTGTTACCTTTGTATTTAATGTCATTAAGGGATTTAGCAACTTGAATGGAAAGTATTCACACAGAGTTGACTAGTAGTCAATTCAAATGATGTTTTTGAGATTAAAGGTTACGTTTAATTATAAAGTTTATCATTTTCAGTAATACCCCAATTGCAACATTACCCTTCGTTAAGTAGAAATATATTTATACCTACTGCAAATGAATGCTCAAATTAACATCAATTAACAGAGATACTCCCACCCCCCTACCCATGGGCACAGGGCTTAAAGCTGGATGTTTATCCACTAGAGAAAAAGAGAGGAAGGAAAGGGGACAAAACAATCTGAAAAGAATTAAACAATGAAAGTATCCCCCATTCCAAAAGTCTGTCCTACATTTTCAGCAGAGACTGAACAACTGGAAAATCCTAACTAGTGCTGAGGCTAACAGAACCATCCATGACCTGGCCCTTCCTTGACCATCTTTCTTTGCCACACTCTTATACTCTGTGTCATAGAAGAGATTATTCACTTCCTTGGCAACACCATGTTCTTTTTAGTTTGATAATTCCCTAAACCTTTCTGGTTAAGGTTTATTCAGGGAAGCAATTTCCTGTCTCACACATTAGATTAAGCCCCAGTGCTAAGTGTTTTCATAACTCCCTGTATTTCCTTTCTTTTAAAACTCATCACATTTTATGATAGCTGCATGGAAAACTGCAGACTGCACCATTTATGCGTAGGAAGTGTTCTATTTATAATTGAAGGGACTAACTGCAACAGATAGGGTCTGAAGTACACAAAGCCCCTAAGCAGCATTTCCTAACTAAAGGAAGGGGGTGGAAAGGAAGGAGAGAGGGAAAAAGGAAGAGGAAAGAAAATGGGAAGACAACAGGAAAAAAGGAGACGCTAAGGTGAACTGAAGAACTGAAGAAGAGGAGTCTATTCTTGTGGTATCGGGGGTTGAATCCAGGGCTCATGAACGGCAAGCAAGTGCTCTATTTCTGAACCATATCTCTGAACCAGCCTAGAGTCTACTCTTGCACCACTTTATATCCTGTGCACAATGAAGGTTATGGAAAGAACTTAAAATGAAAACGAAGTTAAACGGTATGCACGAATCCTATGTGTGACATTTTGCTCTACCTTTTCACTAATTATATTTTTGGACTCAGCTGATCATGGCCCTTGGACCCTTGGCTCCAAAAGATTCTAATAAAACATTTTGTTTTTTAATAAAACATTGGTGTGACTTACTCCAAGCCATCATTATTTTCTTGGCACATTTCTATTTCTGGAGTCCAAATTTCAACTGCATTGACTTAGAGCAAATGAAAAATGTCATTTACAACATAGAGCCCTTTTCATAGTTTAAAAACTCAAGATTAACACAGTAATCACTTTCTACATGTTAGATAATGCCCTTGGTTTTAACAGTTACAATAATGATGAGGGACTACCACATACTTTTATCAAGAGTGAGCAAAGAATGATGTTTTTTGGGTCCCAGATGTAGGTTCTGAGGCCTGCTCTAAAGATCCCACACTCCAACCTGCCTGGGATTCCTTTCCAGTGTGGGCACTGGCCCACTTCTCTTGGCACCCAAGACCTCTGGACTAACCACTTGGCCCAGATTCCCTACTCCTTCCTGATCCTTTGCACTCAGACCAACCATTCTTCAGTCTAGTTCCCTAGAAACCTCACAGCCTGCCCCCAACTCCAACTTACCTTTGCAAACCTGAGACCAGCCTTCATACCTGGCTGCCCCCACCCCCAACCAGCCCAGGATTTCTGAGACCATCTTCATTCCCTGACTACCTGAGAATCCTGAATCTTACCTCTGCCTAGCAAGCCTCCCAAATTGTACTGTGCCTGCTGACTAGAGGGATCCAGACCTTAGGGGTAAGTCTGAGAGCATCTGATCCTCACAGGACTTGGGCCTTGGTGGGAACTCCTGAGCAGCAGGACTAAAGCCATCTATCCACTCCAATACAAAATCAAGAGAGAAAGCCTGAAGCCAACCAGCTTCATACCGAACAAGTAAACAACAAAGACACATAAAGTATACAAACAGAAACAGACCTAAACCCAACAAAGGAAGGCTTGAATCTCACAGAAGAATCAGAAACTACAAAAGAAATACACATGCCAAAGTCACAGCGAAAAAATAATAACATGAAAAACTCAAATAATATGTCATCATGAAGTACCAACGGTCCTGTAAAGGAGTACAATGAGAACCCTTTAGAGAAAACACGGGACATGGAATTCAAAATAAAGATTATAAATATGATAAAAGAATTCAATGAATTTGAAGAACACACAAAGAAATCAAAGAACTGAAAGAAAATAGGGATAAACTTCTGAGTGAATTCAGAAAAGAATTACAAATATTGACGACTACTCGGGCTGAAATGAAGAAGGAAGTGAAACACTCAATAAGCCAATTAGAAACAACAGGAGAAAGCCTCATCAATAGAATGAATGAAATGGAAAACAGATATCAAGAGTGGAAGATAAAGCTGATGAATTAGACCACACGAGCGAAGATTATGAAAACTTAAGAAAACACAGGAATGGAATATGCAGGAAATGTGTGACACCATAAAAAGACCAAATTTACACATCAGAGGCATAGAGGAAGGAGAAGAATCTCAGGCTAATGGTATGGAAAAGCCCATCTTTTTAAAAAGTTATGACAATTATATTATGGCTATGTTTAAAATATAAATGCATATTTTGATTTTTAAGGATATATACTGAAATATATGAAATAGATGATATCATACTTATCATATTATGCTTCATAATAGTAAGTGAAATGAAGGATCGTGAGGGAGCTAGGGACAAAGCAGGACTAATGAAGATGGCCATGAAATGGGGTAACGGGTTCACTGTATGGTGTGTCTACTTGATGTACATTTGGAAAAGAACAAAACACAAACATTACCCTCCCTTAGAAAAAGTCAAAAAGAAAAGTTAATTTATGAAGGCTATTGGTGCTAATAGTGGTCATTATTTTCAAATGAGAGCTTATCTATAAGATCAAATGAGCTAATAAAGACATGAAAAAAGTTAAGTATCCATATCCTCTATCATGAACCATAAACTAACTACAAATGATCTGCAGGTGATGGATTATATTTAAATATTTCCCAAATATTTGACGTATTAAGATATATTAGATAACAACAAATGATTGTAGGTATAATTCTACGTTCTATTTTCAGGTGGGCCAGATAATTCAAAGGCAATATTTTGTATTGATATATAGTGTTGTTATAGAGCACACTCTTCAAGCATAATAGCCATCATCTAATTGAGCAGCTGTGTTGACTTATAAGCGACTCTTAAGATTGGTCCTGTTGACTGTTAACATTCCCTCATAGGGGAGGGGTCACCAGACCCTCACCTGAGATTCAAGCCATATCCTCCAGCAACTCCTAGCCAGCTGTATGAGAGTCTGACCTAACTGCATATGGCCTCATTGTCTTGGGAGGTGCTAGCATATGCAATGCAGAGGGTGGAAGGTTACCCAAAGCGGGCACTCCATTTGCTCAACTATGGGGAAGTCCATATTAATGCTGGAGTAAGACTTTTTTGTGGTGCAATTGCTTTGGGGTCACTCGCTCTCCTGTAAGTAATCCTTCACCCATGTTCTTTTGGTAATCTCAACAAACTCACTGGTTCTCCAAGTTGGACTTTGGTGGAATCATACTTTGGTTTGTCAATGATGCCCTATGAGGAAGTGGAAAGGCATCTGTTTACATCTACCCAGGGAAAGGGTTGCCCCAACAACAATACTAAATCAGCTGAAAATACCCATTACATTATTTTGGGACATATATTTAGGTCATCTGAAGATAAAAATAATATTTTAATGAGAGATCAATTTGCCTATTTACATATCCAAAATACCCAATATAGTTTATAAGTTGCAAACAAATAAATGAATTTTAGAAGCCAGAAGTTATACTGTATATAGGCATTCACATCATTAAACTGGTTCTGGAACAACAGTATAGCTCTTTGTATTATGTGATACATCTTGGAGACCAATTTAAAATTCAGAACAGTCAAGATATTAAAGCACAGTGGTTTTTAACTATCCTAATGTAAAAACTTTTAAAAAATCCTGCTACAGAAGAGTTCTTTAGCATACATTTAAAATAAGAAGACTATTATGACTTTGAGAATGAAAAACCTTTAACAGTATAAAATAAATCAGGAAACACTGAAGGTTTGTGTCCAATAATCATGCAAACAAGACAGAATAAACCTTAAACAAAAAGTAAAATACCCCTAATCTTCCAAAATAGCAAAAAATATGATATCAAAAAAGATACTTTAGCCATCCCAAGAAACATTTTCCACGTTGCTTTCCCATAAATCTCAAGTTTAAAACCCCGAAATAGTGAGTCATATAGAATGGAAACAGCTGAGCATTTGGGTCACATGAAGCTCTGGAAACTTACTTCAGCTTTTCCTCTTCACTCGATGTCTTCCACAGTTCTTCCAGTTGTACTGTTGCATCCTCCAAACTAGTCTTAGGATTTTCTGTGAGAAACTGAGCACGGTGATCTTGAATAAACAGGGCACTTGCTGACATGGGCTTTTTGATCACTCGATTGCTAATTAAATCATAGGCTGTAAGCTGGCCAGATTTGTTATCTATTACATTTGATTTTTTGTTACAGGGACCATCACTGAGACTCTTTGGTTCAAGACTGGGGTGACTATCATTACTTACTTTACATGTTAAACTTTTTTGAGGCACAAAAATTTTCACAGGTTCAATATTCTCTCCCATTGAATTAAATACATTTCCCCTGCTCCACTCTTCTGCACAAATTTCCGGAGAGTTCTCAGGAATTGTATCTTCCTTGTTTTGTCCACTCTCATCTGCATGGCCCTTAGAGCCATTTTCTATGTGTATATGCTTACTGGAACCTACAAAACCAGTTTCACTCATTTCACTAATAGTCACTGGGATATTCTGAAATGTACTTCTGGTGTCCTTATTGATACTAGAATTTTCACTCCTAAAATGATCATCACACTGGTCATCAACATTTATTGGTTGATTTAAACAATGAGCAGTGTTTTCTCTAGGTCCATCATTATGTACATCATTTGGGGACAGAACAGCTGAAGTATCAACATCTGGATAATTATTTCCAGATGATTCTATTTTATTAAAAAGCACATCTGTTTCTGCTGTTCTACTAACAACCATGTCAGTTGAGGAAACATCTGCTTCATTATTTTCGTAAGAATTTGTACTAGGTAGTGGTCCGTAACAGGTCATCATCAAATTTTCAAGAGCAATTAAAACAGATTCCTAAAAATATAAATGAATAAATATTAGGGGATTAGTGTGAAAAAGAGAGAATGTTTAAAACAATAAAAAAGTATAATTAAGCAAGTCTTTTTATTTTGGGAACATTTAAGACTGTGTAAGTTTATAAACAGGATAAATCAATATAATTATTTTAAAAGATTACCTTATTCTGTAATAATACTTGACTTTTATCTGGTGTTAGATTTATATCCACTTCAGCTGTGGGAATATCAATTTTCAAAAAGAAAATGGGATACGAACGAGTAGATTCCTTTAGGCACTTCAGATTGTAATAATGTCGGATTAACTAGAAATAAATGCAAGGAATAAAAGATAAAAACAACATGTAAATAAAGACAGTACTGACAACCTTAAGATGTTACCAAAGGAGTAGGTTCAACTTAGAACTGAGCAGATACACTTGCTGATGTGGCAAAGCAGTGTCTCCTGAGTAGGAGGAGCACTTCCTCGAAGGCCTCGAACCCACCATGCTGCGAAGCACCAGCATTCATAAGATAACACATCCAGTTTTCAGTTAAAAATCAGTGTCTCTGAGTTTAGAAGGCCTAAGGTACAAACCAAACCCTGCTACTTTCTGGCTACTATATTTCAGAAAGTCATTTAATGAGCTGGGCATGGTGGTGCACACCTATAATCACAGCACTCAAAGTCAAACTGGGCTACACAGCAAGATGCTATCTCAAATATGAATATTAAAATAAACCATCTAATTTTTTTTCACTGTAAATGGGGATAATAACAACTCACAGAGTTTTTGTGAAGAATAAATGAGATGCATATAAATATAGCTTAATAATAATTTAATTTTTTCCTTATTTTAGAGAAAATTCTTAGAAGTGGTCTAACAATTTGACAAATGATAATTACGATTTTAATTTCTGATCCAAGAGATATTTTCTTTCTAAAAGTGATTACCTTTAAGATGTCTTTTTGATGTATTGGTCGACTATTAATAAAGATGAAACTTCTCTCAGGGGTTGAGAGACTTGTGGAATTGTGATCTGCCTCATGCTTTGGAAAGAAACCACTTAGATGAATCTGTAATTATGACACATAGGTACAGAATATGTAATGTCAAGAATGAAGTTCCAAAGGTTTGATTATATACAACATATTAGAAGGCATATAAATAAAACATCATATTTATAATTTAAGGTCTAAAGAGCCACACATATACTTATAACCATGTCTTGAAAATTAACTTTGAGTAAATGAGGAAGCATTCTAAAACCAGTGTTCACTCCCTCTAACTCTGTAACTCCAGGAAAAAAAAAAAAAACTTTTTTAACTTTCATAGGACAAACAATCATTCTCTGATCGTCCTTACCTTGTTTCATTTTGAAATTTCTTTCCCCTCATATTGTGACATTTCCCCTTCTGGCTATTTGTCTTTGCTCTTCAGCCATCATTTCCTATCTTTATTCTGAATATGCTATAAAGTTAACTGAACTCCTGTTTAATAAAAAACTTATGTTACTCTGAATTAGCTTCTTCAAGGCTATTGTACACCTGTACCTTATCTTCATCTTTACTTACAGAACTTTCCTACAAGAATTTTACGGATTATTTACATACTACCTTTCTCTGTTCTACAAATAAATGAAGAGAAGGGACAAATGGAAGGATATGGAAAAAAGGAAAAGAGAGAGATCTAAGGAACAGAAGGCAGGGAATATACTCCTGCTTTTACTCTGAGGAAACTGACACAGCTAACGACAAGACAGAGAATTGTTAAGGATTCCTCCCACTGTCATCCCATTTGCCCCTAAAAATAGTCCCCTTTCAACTTTCATGGTGTGTGTGTGTGTTGGCCTATAATTTTTTTTAAAATTTTTATTATTTTTATTTTATGTGTATGCATGCATTGCCTGCATGTAGGTAAGTGCACCCATGTCGTGCAATGCCCACGGAGGACAGAAGAGGGTGTTGGATCCCACAGAACTGGAGTTACGGACAGTTGTTCGCTGCCACGTGGGTGTTGGGATTTGAACCCGGTCTTCTGCAAGAACAGTCAGCATTCTTCACTGCTGAGCCATCTCTCCAGCCCCTGGCCTATAATCTTAACTAAAGCAACCTGAAGTCCTCAAAGTCAGTAAATTATGATAAGAAACAGGAAGAGTAAAAACTCAGCTTAGGTTACATAAAGCAAATTTGTTAGTAGGGTGCTATTTTTAGTTAAGGAGTAAGCATGAGGTTCCTTAACAACATAGCTTGTAGGCTGTCACCTATGTCTATGGTTATCCTTGCCCTTGGAAATAAGTGTTTAAGGAGATGTATTACCAGTTTTAGAACACTAAGTGCATTACTGTCACAGTGCCAACTTGTGCCAATTTGAAAAAAATAAATTAATAAATCTGGATAATCCATTACAAGATGATACCACTTAATTAACTGTAAAACTTCACAGCATTCATAAATGGTTGTATAATTTACCAGGTAACATGAGATCCTTCTTAAAGCACCTGCTGGGCATCAGGGAGCGTCTGTTTAGCCTCTGAAAGACTTACTGAGTATGTGGATTAAAGAAAAGAAGAGGCAGATGAGGAGAGGAGCGAAGAGAGAAGAGAAATCTACCCTCTACCCTGAACAGGGAAAAGAAAGTGGAGTGAAATATGAAACTGCTAGTAATTTCCTTTCGTGCTCTTTTAGACAGCAGCTGTATAACTAATCCTAAATAGAGATCTTTAAAATGATTAAGAACAATCTTCAAAATGAACAAACTATATTAAAGTTATATGGAAAAGTAAAGTAAAAGAGCAATACCTCATAAAATACTATGAAAAATTTTAAATAATTTATGAGTATATTGCCTGCATATATGTAAGTATACCAGTGTTGCGTAACGCCCATTGAAGATAAGAGAGGGCATTGGATCCCCCGGGACTGAAGTTAAAGATGGTTGTTAGCCTCTGTGTGTGTTGAGAATTGAACCCGAGTCCTCTGTGAGATCAGCCAGTGGTCTTAACCACTGAACCACCTCTCTAGCCCCAAATACTATAAAAAGTTTTTAAATGAGGTTAGTTCACAGAAAAAGAACTTAAAAGACCGTATCAGTGCAATAAAACAAACCAAAACCAAATGTGATAGATCTTACAAGATTCTGTACTTCAACCTAAAAATGAAAACAAATATCCAAGGTAAAATACAATTAAATACTATTCCTCTAATTGCTTCTCAATGTGGGCCTCTCTCTCTTCTTCTCTAATTCCTTTTATATATTTATACATTCTCTGTCAATAACCAATGCAAGTTCTTCTCTTAAATGACTCTGCAGGTCTGGCATCAATGACAATGTCCTTTCAGGAAGCATTCAACTGAAGGGGTCTGTTTTAGTCTCTTTTGGACTTACTATTTCCGTTTTGACACTTCCTTCTCAGTCTGATCTCTGGCTCCTAATCTTTACCTTACCCAGTAGGAATGATGACAGTCCCCTAAATTCCATCTTCAGGCACTTTTTGCTCTGAAATCCTCCCGCCCCTCTAGGTAATTTCATTTATATCTCTAATTTCAATAACTACCCACTACTGATACTAAGATAGTGATACTGCAGTCTATTTCTTTCATTCTCAAATTCCCCAATTGGCTGTCACAAAAATTAATTCACCACACTCAGAACTTCGTAAGATATTTTGTTTCTTGGCAACTTCTTTGTTCTTTACCATACTTTTCATTAGAGAGGCCACAGTCTGTCAAACACATCTCTTCTCTATCCTGATTTCAGTGATGATGTCACCCTGACTGGTCTGCTAGCCCTCACCTTTCTCTTCTTTCAGTAAAACTCCATAACATGGAGTTAAATTTCTACCATAGTAATCCAAATACTCCAGTCAGGATAGTGAAACAAGTTTACATGGAAATTCCTTCTCCCAAATGGAAACTGCACAGGAGAGATAAAAATCAATTTTTAATGTTAATTTCAAATGACCTAAGCACACAAACAACAGACAAAACTGTCTTGGATTCAAATTACATAACAGGGAGTGATGGCTGAAGGGAAAAGTCCTATGTGCTCTAAGGTCATAAAAAAGATGTCCCATTTGGAAACTAAACTCTAGCAGGAAAAAACACTCCACACAAAGAGGATGGAAATCAGTCTTTCCACTTGAAATAGGGAGCTCATATAGCACCTCCCCTGAAGAAAAACAAAACAACTTAAAAATATTGTGACCACTGTCTGGAGCTACTTGCCAGAGTCACAGGAAAGAACAGAGACAACTCCAAAACCAAGAACAAGGCTAGGCCAAGCTGGCTGGGGAAAGGAGTCTGTAAAGTCCTGGCAGAAAAAGAGACATGGACCACTAATATAACACCTGGTTTTGAATTGGGACTAGGAAGACATATGTGCCAAACTGTGAGAAGGGAGAGGTAGGCATGGAGAGAAAAAGAAAAAACAGAAACAAACCTGTATTCAAGATTTTGCAAACCACACAAAATAGCAGACTCTTCTCTCAGAAAAAGATACAAATGATAGAGCAATATGGAAAAGACTTTTAAATTAGTATGTATAACATGGTTTTTAAAATGAAAAATATCCAATTAAAACAGAAAGTAAATAATTATCAATGGCTATTAATTAATTTTAGAAAAGACTATGAAAATAAATACTCTGTTCTAAAAACTATGCATAGTTTTGGAAATATAAATCAGGTTGTACTGAGGCATTCACTCAGAGGTTAGCATGGAGCAAGCAAAGTTAAAAGGTCAGAGAGAAGACAGATATAAAAAACAAAATGTGGAGCTCCATCAGTTCCATAAGCAGCAGAACTCAGACAGTCTACTGGCTTAAAGTTAGCAGACAAACAAAAAGTCTCTTCTGGATAGAAACTAAATAATGACAAGGTATCATAAATCAATTAGAATTAATCTAACTTTGTGCTAGAAGTACTAAAGAAGACAGGGAACAAGGAAGATGATAGATGGAAGCATCTATATACATATACATGTGTGTATAATATACACACAGACACAAATATATATAATTGAGAAGAACTAGGGCAGTGAGGAACATTATGATATACAAAGCAAACCTTCACCCATTATGAAACATGGGAGTATCGTAGACTCCAGGAACAGGACTAGGATCATGCTAGATAACACTCAAGGAGGAGCTTAATAATCAAAAACTCAGCCACAAACACAGATTCCCAAATTAATTTCCTATGCATACCAAGAGACAAGGAGAGAAAAACCTAGGCTTGGAGAAAAAAGACCTGCTATGCAAAACAAAACCTACTTCCTATGAAATAAAAACTATTCAAGAAACTAATACATTTTTAGATTAAAAAAATTATCTTTGGAAAAATTCAAGCTTTTGTATTTATGAACAAGAAGTTATAAAATTAGCATTTATATTGAAATACTCTTGGAAATTAAACTTAAGTTTCTAAGTAAAAAAATTCAACAGAAGAGTCAGAAGATATAGTCAGTAAGGTCCAGCAGAATACAAAAGAAAAAGATAGAAAAGTTGAGAAAAATAAGGGGAGAACCTAAAAAATAATGAGCTTCATTAAAAGAAAAAAAAAAGAGGCAGAAAGTGGTAACAGACAGAAGCACAAAACTCAGAAATGGGTCTTCAGAGTGAAAGCATCTACATTCAGCGCTCAGCACATAAATGAAACAAACAATCCTTATAAAACTCACGGGGGGGGGTACCATGAGGACAGAGAAAGTGACAAACAAGAGATAACCAAAACGATATATGAAAAAGCCACAGAGAAACCAACTTTTAAAAATAAGTTTATTAAAAAAATGCAGTCTTGGGGCTGGAGAGATGCCTCAGCGGTTAAGAGCTCTGACTGCTCTTGCAGAGGACCCGGGTTCAATTCCCAGCACTCACCTGGCGGCCCTCTTCTGAACTCCACAGCATTGCATGACACGGGTGCACTCACATACATGCAGGCAATACACTCATACACATAAAATAAAAATAATAAAATATTTTTTAAAAATGCAGTCTTAAAAACAAAGGTTGAATGGAGGTAGTCTCCATGGATGGCTAATGCTCCTCAAAGAAGCTACAAGTTTGAAAATCCCAGAGCCAGGTATGAGAGATCTCTCTATAGGTTGTTGGTCTGGAAAGCCCCAAAAGTACGCACACAATACAAGAGCTATTGCTATTGCTTTTGGTTTCCCACCAGAACTTGATGATGAGACCCTACAGCTGAAGATACTGCACATTTTGGTCAAAGGACCTATAAAAATCAAGCTGGAGCTAAGCTGGGAGCTTCTTCCCTACTGACTAGCTTTCACAGTGCCAGAGAAGAAAAGTCAAACCCAGCTGTGAATTCTGCAAGCTACAATGATAAATTTGCAGGCAAGATGTACCCTCTAGTTAGTGCAGTAATGGCATGGTGGGGATGGGACTAACCAACTACTTTCTGATTGGATTTGAGGCCTGCTCCACTCCATCAAGAGGGAACTAATGCTTAGTTCTGTAAACCAGGTCAAGTGTCTGTGTCTGGAGAGGTTGCTAATTACTACTACTATACTATGACTACTACTATTTAAAAAAAAAAAAAAACAAAAAAAAAAAAAAAAAAAAAAAAAACACAAAAAAAAAAAAAAAAAAAAAAAAAAAAAAAATACCATGAAAAACCAATGTATTGTTATTGTTGTTTTTGTTTGTCTTGTTTTTTTAAGACAGAGACAGAGTGTTACTATGTACTCCTGGCTGGCCTGGAACTTGCAATGTAAGCCAGGCTGGCCTTGAACTCCTAGAGATCTGCCTGCCTCTGCTTCCTGAGTGCTGGCATTAAAGGCATGTGGCATCACACCCAAAAAAGATTTTATGTATTTATATTTTATATGAATGAGTGTTTTGTCTGTATCATGTGTGTGCAGTGCCCATGCAGGTCAAAAGAGGGCATCAGATTGCCCTGGAACTGGATCTAAGAATGGGTGTTAACTGCCATGTGGGTGCTGAGAACCAAACTCAAGTCCTCTGGAAGAGTAGTAAGTTCTCTTTTCCTCTGATCCAATCCTCCAGCTCATACTACTACCACTTTTTTTGCTAAAACATCATGCTGTCAATCTGCTTTCTAACCACTCATGTTTATACTCAAAAGTTTACACACAAAGGTTAGTGCTATGTTTAGCCTTCTTAACAGAGGCTTCTTACTGCAGGTGCAGGGTCATGGTAGCTAATGCAGAAACCCATAACTAGCCAAAGTGCTAAGAATAAGTGATGGTGGAGAGCTTGGCCTTTCTAAGAGCCAGGGAACATCATGGAAGAAGGCTGGTAAGAATGTAAGAGTAAGATGATGGGGAGCTGTGAATGAAGCACAATGTCACAGTATGGTCATGGATGGCCTTTGCACTCACAAACTCATGCAGCTATGATTATCTGCACGAGACCTTCGCCCTTCTACATTTAATCATGGATGGAGAAGGAACTACTGGCAGCACCAGCAGTGTGGCCACTGAGAAGTTGTCCTTACTTCCATCCACTCTTGGGCAAGAGACTCTAATTCAACCTAATTCAACTCAAAGCTTTGCACACAAAAGAAGACATGAAAGTAGTTAGAGGACTTGCTGGGAAGAAGGGTTTTAGCAGGAGAGGGAGTGGGAAGAGATGAGAAATGAGGAGTAAAAACATTCAAATTCATTATGCGAATGTATGATGCTGTCAAAATATATATTTTAAAGATTAAAAAAGAAAGAAACAGGGATAAAGCAAACACTACAACAACAACAAAACTACCATAGCCTGGTCTACATAGAGCTCCAGGTCAGTCAGGGTTATACAGTGAGATCCAGTCATGACAAAACAAAACAAAACCCAAAACCCCCAAAAAACCCCACAATACAATTTTAGAATTTCGTGACTGTTTATTATGACAACAAAAATTACAGATATAAGATTTACGAGCAAAGATGAGCATAAGTATTGGCACATGATAATATCAGCACTCCAGAGGCAGAGGAAAGAGGATTACAACATGCAGCCAGACTAAGCTATAATAGTGAGAGGCACATCTCAAAGAAAAGGAAAGAATAAATAAAAGATAAAGGAAAGATGAGAAGTTTAATATAGAAAAAAATCATCTACTAAGGAAAAATTGATATGTGTTAATTGTCCCATCCACAATGGATGGTTAACCTACTGTCTTCAACATTCTGGTGGACGACCCTGTATCCCAGCACTCTATAGGCTGAGAAGGCAGGATTTTGAGTTCAAGGTCAGCCTGAGCTACATAGAAAGAAGTTGAAGGAGGGAGGGAGGAAGGGAGGGAAGAATGAAGAAAGAAGAAAGAAGGAAGAGGGAAGAAGGAAGGAAGGAAGGAAGGAAGGAAGGAAGGAAGGAAGGAAGGAAGGAAGGAATGAAGGAAGGAAAAGACAAGACAGACTGACTTTCAGAACTCTTAGAAAGGAAAAAATTTACATGGAGAAATCCATGTACAAAGCAAAGAAAAAACAGTAAATTTAGAGTAACTGATGGGACTGTAAGAAAGGAAACTGTGATGACTCAGACTTAAAAGCACTGGGCTGCTCTTGCAGAAGACCCAGGTTTGGGTCCCAGTACCCACACAGAAGCTAACAACAGTAGACAACTCCAGTTCCAGGGGATCTGATGTTCTCCTGGGAGTTCAGCACTGCATGCATTTGGTGTACCTACACACACGCAGTCAAAACACTCATACACATAAAAAATTAAAACAAATTTTAAAAAGACTGTATTTAAGTCAGCATAGTAGGGATACTCTGATTTTTATGTCCTAAGAGATAAATACTGGATCCATAGAAAGGAAATGTAATCCTAGCACAATACTGGGCTTTGTAATGATCATGCAGCTGTAGTGATGTATATTACATCTAAGTTTAGAATTAATTAGACCTTTGGAATTAAATCTTCAGACCAAAGATAAAAGACAAACACACAAATAAACATCCTCCTGAGCTGGGACTATAGCGCAGGTTCAGGCTTAGATCCTGTTCTAGATACTTTCTAATGCTGTAATAAAAATACTGACCAAAACCAACTTGGGGAGGAAAGTTTATTTGGCTTACAGCTTGTAGTCCAGCATCAAGGGAAGCCAAGGGAGGAATTCAGGGCTGGAACCTGGAACACTGACTTGTTTACAGGCTTGTTTCTCTGGCCCATGCTGTACCTGCTTTCTTATACAAACAGGACCACCTATCCAGGGGTGGCACCACCCACAAAGGACTGGGTCCTCCTACATCACTCAACAATGAAAATGGCCATAGACATGGCCTCTAGTCAATCTAATGGAGGTAATTGCTCAACTGATGTTCCCTCCACCCAGGTATATCAAGTTGAAAACTGAAGTTATCTAGCACAGATCCTAGGCATTGAAAAAAGAAAAAGAGAAATATACGTATAAAAATATGTTAAAGCCAGATCAGAACAAGTCTGTAATATCTTGCTGTGGCAAGAGGCTTACAAGTTCAAGGTCTGACTGGGCTACAGAGAAGTCAAGGCCAGCTTGGGAAACTTTGTAGGTCCCTGAATGAAAAATAAAAAAGTAAAATAAGGACTGAGGATATAGCAGAGTGGTACACCGCAAATATACATGATAAAGGAACCAAGCAAGCAAGAGAAGCATCAAGCATCACCTAGCAGCACACAGAATCAAAAAGTATTCTCTGAAGCTGAAAGACCAACAAAGGAAATGATACTATTTAGTCATCAAAAGAAACTTTAAAACTTCTTACCACCCCTGAAGGGAAATATTTTAACAATCTCATTAGTATGTGAGACTCATTAAAGGCCATTTTTGTCGCATACCTGAGACTCTTCACAGTGGTGCTGAACGGATTCCATGTTGCCCATCACAGATGTCCCCAGAACAGACATGAGAGCCACCCTGTGGTCTGGTACCCTGCTTTTCTGCCAAATAACTGCCTAGGGACAAGATGATACAGACAGACAAGGTTTAATGCAATTTAGATTTACTAAACTCAAAACTTACAGTATTTATTATATATTTTTAGCCTCACTTTACACTTTTTATCATTTAGAAGTGATCCGTGAGGTATGGACTACCAGAACAACTGGTTCTGAATTTTAAGCTGGATATGATGCAATGTATAATCTGTTTAAAATTTCTCAACCTCCTCAGTCTCCCTATAAGACGGTTATTTCCCAGAATTGATAGAAATTTAAATACTTATTGTAGTCAAGTATGTAGACTGGTGTCAAGCATAAAACTGAAGAAAAGATTTCCTTTGATTACCAAAAGTAGTGGACAAAGTCTAGAATTATTATAGTTTTTTTAATTAAATTTTTTTATTTGTTATTTTTAGGTGTATGACTGTATTGCCTGCATCCAGGTAGGTGTGCCGTGTCATGCAATGCCCTTGGAGGTCGAAAGAGGGCATCAAATTCCCCTGGAACTGGAGCTAAGGACAGTTCATAGCCACCATATGGGTGCTGGGATTCAAACCCAGGTCCTCTGCAAGAGCAGCCAGTGCTCTTAACCACTGAGCCATCTCTCCAGCCCCAAATTATTATAGTTTTTTATAATGATCAGAATATAATCTCTATATGCAAATTCACTTAAGCCTCAAAAAAGACAAAGGATGGTCTCCCTCTCTTGAAGCTGTTGATGAGGGGGTCCCATAGACCCTCAAACAATACTGATCATTGCTCCTGCTCTTGGTTACCCACCAGAACTTGATGGTAAAATCCTATTTCTGAGGACACTACATACATGAGCTGTAGAACCAACAAGGAGAAATCAAGCTGGTGTTGCCTCCAGAGCCTCATCTCTACTGACTAGGTTTCACAGTGCTAGAAGGTCCTATGTATGCTACTGGAAAGAAAAAATAATCAACCTTATCCAGTTGTGAATCCTCTGAACTACAGCACAAACTGGCTTGGCAAAATATGCCCACTAGTACAATAGTGGCATAAATATTATGGGAGTAACCAACCACTCTCTAGATGTATTTAAAGTCTGTTTCACAGGATGGAGTCCATACCTGACACTGATATTAGGCTTAGGAATCTGAGTCTAGCAAGGTCACAGGGCATAGGGGACAGCCTAATACCACCTAGTTTTCTACTAAACAGCTATAGTATTAAACTGAATCCTAATGACTTATTGTTATATCCACAGATTAATGCATCTCTCAACTCTCAACAGAGAAGATTCCTTATGCAGCAGATGGTGATTTATACAGAAACCCACAACTGGCCAATGTGCAAGGAATAAAAGACTGCAGACTGCTTATCCCTGAATAGTACACCTATATCAAACTTCTGCCTCCCAAGGCTAAGGGATCATTGCAGAAGAGGGGATGGAAAGATTTTTAAATCCAGAGGAGGTAGATGACAAAAAGGAAACCGTTTTCCAGACAGCTGGTCAGTTACTCATATGAACTCACATCAATGGTGACAAGCATACACAAGTCCCATGCAAGCCCAAACCAGACAAAATCCCAGCACAGACATGGGAAGGGGTTGGAAACTCCACCCAGCCCAAGGAACTATTGGTAACCAATATCTGTTGGGATGGGGAGAGATAAGTCTCATTCAAGGATGGGATCTTTGGTAAGTTAACCAGGCTCTAGTGGATGGACACACACTGAAGGACATTTGAGGGCACAAACTAAACTCTCTAGGCCTTATTATATAAATAATAGAGTACATTAAATTAGGCAGGGTGCAGTAAGTAGAAGTGTGAATAGGGGAAGGGATCTAAATACCATCAAATTATATTGTATAAAAATCACGAGCATTCAGGGCTGGAGAGATGGCTCAGTGGTTAAGAGCACTGACTCATCTTGCAGAAGACCCGGGTTCAATTCCCAGCACCCACATGGCAACTATGAATCGTCCTTAGCTCCAGTTCCAGGGGAATCCGAAGCCCTCTTCTGACCTCCGCAGCATTGTACGACACGGGTGCACTCACATACATGCAGGAAATACACTCATACACATAAAATTAAAATAAAACATTTTAAAAAAATGAAACTTCAATAAAATTTTTTTTAAAAAGACAAGGAAATGCTGACTTCCGCTGTCATGAATACTGTTTTATACTAGCCAGTAGTTGGTGATTTAAGAGACAGTATTCTAAATAACAGGAAGTTAAAAAAAAGATTCAGAATAATCTGCAACTATATAGGAAGGAATTGCCCCACACCAAAGCTCCTTACAATAAGGAATCAATGCACCACAAATTGTACCTCTTTAAAGTTACATCAGTTCTCCAACACTGACATACATTAACTTCTGTCTTCTTTCCCTCTCCCCACCTCTTCTCTTCCCTCCCCTTACTCTCTCCCCTTACTCTCTCTTTCTGCTGCAGATCAAAGCCAAGAGGCTTCATACATACTAGGCAAGTAATATTATATCCTCAACATCATATATTTAAAGTCATCAAGAAAACATTTCAAACATCTATATTTTGGAAATATAATTATGAAACTTGTGACACACTAACATGAGCATCATATTTTTAAGCTTGTATTTATTTATTTGCATTTTTATTTATTCTGGTTTATGTTACAAGAACTGCCTCAGGTACAAACACAATCTTAGCAATTGATTAATGCTAAGGCTATTTCACTGTTGGATTTGCTGAAGTCAGTATATAGAATGACTTTAGGAAATAGGTTCCAAAAAAGCTGGGAAATGAGAACAAGAAATGTGATTTCATTTCTCTCAATTTTAAAATGAATACTGCAATTATTCTGAATTACTATGTCAGATCAGGGGAGTTCATTTAGGGGCATTTCCCACACTTTTTTTGCTAGCATTTGGGCTAGCAATAAATGATAAAGAGATCAGCTGACAAGTAAAATCATCGTTGTTGCCTAGGCAATATTCATTTTCACAACAGAATCCATCATTAAAGAACTAAACAAATGTAATAAAAATAGAAAATTCAGAAACTAAATTTTTAATTATATTTTCAATAAACTGTTTAGGTCTTAGTTTGTTCTCTACCATTTTATCTACACAAAAACATAGGTAATTTTTTACTTCCTAAAGTTTTCTGTATATCTTGCCCTTAGGCTGAAAGCTTAACATGTGCTAAAAATACACACACACCTCCATATGTTTTCTATCTAGGTCACACAAAGCTGCAGCATCTGGATGTGCCAAATAAGAATCTGACTCTGGTCAGTATGATGACGGTGCAAAAGTACCTCAATCGAGAATATATTATTACATGCACACCATCTGAAGTTTGATTTAAGTTAGCCAAATATATCTTGTCCCATTTCCACTTCACTGACATACACTATTTGAAGAAAATGAAGCCAGATAAGGTCACTGTATTTAAAGAGAGTAAACCTCAATTGCAAAAACAACCTGATACAAAGAGAAAGCAAGGTGTACACAGAACATGCATAATTAACTAAAAAGTGCACTGCTAAGACCACCTGACCTAAGGCATCTCCTGCTAGAATAATAAGTAGATATTACTGGTCTGAAATGCAATTGTTGTATTTTAAATGTCTCCTTCAAAATTCACATTGAAACTTCACTACCAATGTCACAGTATTACTTAGTTGAATGTTTAAGAACTGGCTAGGTCATGAGGCACCATCCTCATGGAAGGATATGCATTATCAAAATGGGTTATTGTCTTGGTAGTACACTCCTGATAGGAAGGATAAACTCAGCTCAATTCAGCAAGTCTAACTCTGGAGCTCATTCAAGTACTTTCTAAGATTAGAAGATGGTAGTCACTGATAGGCCAATAGTTCACAGAATTTTTTTCTTTAGCATAAAAACTATTGAAGATTTGAAGTTTGTTCTAAATATACCAAACAAAGGGCAAACAATTAATTAGAAATTAGTCTTACTCTATAAGAGACAGCACTCTACATAAAAATATGGGGGATATTTGGATTTTTAAGATTATACAATTATGGACCTCCATCTGTGTACTGTGATCTCAGCAGACCACCAGAGAGTGCCTGTTTCGGACTCATACTGGCACAAGGACTGAGAACCCACGGAACTGCCTAAGAACGCCGGGATCCTGCCTCCACTTGATGAAGCCTTTGAGAGGGAACTGACACTGATTCTAACCACTCCAACGGCTATCAAAATGCCTGAAAGCAAATCCTGAATCCATCACTCTCACGTCCAGCCTTGGCAGACAAAACAAAAATGAGGAGGAGCCCAATAGAGGGATGCTTTCTGAAGCTCTCATCAAGAAATTCCAATGGACTCTCATATGAACATTTGAAATTTGCCCTGTTCTGACTTTTTTCTAGTTCCCTGTCTACAACTTGTAATACTAATTACTCTTGCCTTTACTTCTCCTTCACATCTCTTATTTACCAGTCAAGAACTTTCTTTTCCCCCTACAGATAAGAGTTGCAATTTGGGAGTCTTTTAGATAGACCCACTGAAGAGGTACCCCAATTGACTCACCCTGCTTCCCTGTTCAGCATGGAAGAAGCCAGAGAGGTCTGCATCCAGATTCCCTATTCGTAAGCTGGGTAACCTCTTCAGAGGATGGTATAAGAATAGGATGTAGGAAGGAATTGGCTAGGCAGTTAGTGTAAAAAGACCCCAAAGAAAAGTAGCCAGTTTCTTGGCTAAAAGTCAAAATGTCCTTGGGCCTCTTAGCAACATACTCCATTCCAAAGGCCAAAAATGTCGAAAGCATATGGGAGCTCTTGTCTAATCCTTAAAATATTTTAGGGTTACCTCTTCAGAGGGGGGAATGTTAGAGTAGCAAAAAGAAGAAAGAGTAATGAAGTTATCAGAAAAAAGTGATGGGGAGATATGAGAGGAAATAGAAGGGAGAGAGTGAGCATGGATTTGATCCAAACACCTTATATGCTCATATGCCTGTATGAAATTCTCAATAAATTATTTTGCAAAAAGATTATACAATTACTGAGAACAGAAATAAAGTCAGTGTAATAGTACCT